ATCACCAGTCACCTCACTTTGAGTGGTCCATGGAGGTAGGAGTCTGAATCCACAAGGCTAGAGGACTGTATCAGCCAAGGGCTGGGAAGGGGCTGAGTGCAGGGTAAAGCAGGGCTCCATTTGAAAGTCCCCTCTTGTGTTTGACACACAGGGATGGAACCCAGGGCCTTTCTCATGTTATGGAAGCATTCTACTCTAAACCTTAGCTAAAAGATCTCTCTCTCTCTCTCTCTCTCTCTCTCTCTCTCTCACACACACACACACACACACACACACACATGCATGAGCATGTATGCTGGGAGTACAAGCAGAGGCCAGAAGAGGACATCAGGAGCACTCCATCATTCTAGTATCCTTTGAGGCAGGGTCTCTCCCTAAACCTGGATACTGGAGTTTTTTCCCTCTGCCACCCTGGAAAGCCCCAGCAATCCTCTCATCTCCATTTCTCTCAGAGCTGGGATTCTAGGCATGCACCAGGACATTTGCTTGCTCTGTGATTTCTAGGACCTGGATTGTGGTCCTCATGATTATGTAACCAGTGCTCCTAGCTGCTGAGCTGTCTTTCCAACCCCTGAACTTTGAATTTTGAGACAGGCTAAATTTCTCAGCCTGGCTTTGAATTCATTCTGTATCCCAAACTGACCTTGATTTTGGGATCTTCTTCCCCAGTCTTCTTAGTAACCCAGATTACAGGCCCATTGCCACCAGCCTTGGCTCGAACACCATTATTGCCATTGTGTGATTATAAGCATTTCCCTGGTCCCTTTGTCTTACTCCACACCACACTCCTGTAGGGATATCTGGGCTGAGTCAGAAGCTGTCCTGGTTAAGAGTGTAGGAGTAAGGGTGGGACAGGGCCCTGCAGCCAGAGTGCTCTGGGTTCAAATTCCACCCCCTGTGCTTATCAGCAGCCGATTCATTCCTGAAGTTTCTGTAGCACTGGTAACAACCTGAGTCAGAGGCAGTGGGAAAGGAGGGGGCTACCAGGTGTTTGCAGAACTGCCTACCCTTTACCCACAGGGTACTCCTTGATAGCCTGAGACTGGAGGATCAGGAACCTAGAAGATACTTCCTCCTAGCCCCAGCACTGGTTCACCCAAAGGAGAAGTGAGTGGAGGAAAAACATGGCCTGGGAGGCTCTCCCTCTTTTCTGCTTCTTGCTCACTTTCAGTAATAGAAGATGTGTTGAGAAGAACTCTCAGGCATGTGGGCCCCCTCTCGCCTTGAGGCACACAGATGTGGCTGCCTGAGGCTCCACCTGCCTATCCTGGTCATGAGTCCCGTCTCTTTACCAGATATCCAGATATCCACAAGGGAAGGACAGCTCTGTACAGCTCTGTACCATGCCCTGTCTTTCCCTTTCTCAGTCACAAACACAGACAAATAGGTTCACAAGAAACAGTAGCATCTACTGGGTTCCTTGGCAACAATTTACCAAGTAATCCTAAATTCCCTTGGTAGCTTGGATGCTGACCATCACCGCTCCTTTTATTCTTTACTGATATTAACTCTTGGGTCGCACTCCACACATCAGACAGTACAGAATGCCTGGGAAAGGAGTCAAAGAGGCTATGGAGAGCCAAGGACTCACTGGAGGTAGAGGTCAGAGCTGGTCCAGAGGCAGAGGCATTGGAGGTGGCCAGCTAAGATATTCAGAAGCTGATGGAAGGGGCGCTGGAGGCCAGCTGAGCCACAGAGCTGGGGCAGGGCAAGACAAGGACCTGGCCACAGTTCAAGTTCTCCTGAGCCCCCCACTAGGGTGGCCAGACAAGGGCTGCAGTATTAGGTGGCCCTCCTTCTGTGAGGTCCAGGGGAGGGCATTGCAGTTTGATACTTTCTAGGTCTGGTGTGTTCTATAAGCTCATGGGCCTGGGTTTTCTTTCTTTCTTTTCTTTTTTTCTCTTTTTTCCCCCCTTTGAGTTTCTACAACAACTCCTCCTCCTCCTTCTTTTCAAGATATGGTTTCTCTGTGTATCCCTGGCTGTTCTAGAACTTACTCTGTAGACGAGACTGGCCTCGAACCTGCCTCTGCCTCCCAAGTGCTAGGGTTAAAGGTGTGCACCACCACCACTCCCACCTTGAACTTATGGTCCTCCTGTCTTTACCTCCCAAGTGCCGGAGGTATAGGCATACCCCATTTTGTTTGTTGGTGAGGGTTGAACCCAGAGCTTCACACAAGCACTGTACTGTCTGAGCCGCGACCCCAGCCCCCTGATGTTAATATGCTGATGTCCCATCCCTTTCTGATTCATCTTGCAGTTTGTATGCAGTACTCCTTCATGTGTTTGTCATTCTGTGCCTTGTGGGTCTAGCTGAACAGGGGGCTATGTCTGTGTGCACAGTAAGATTCTGCCATCCTGCCTCAGCATTGGCTCAAAGTAGAGGGAGCTGCTACACTGTAACACGGAGTACTGGACACAAAGCCATCCTCAAAGCTGCAAACCGCGGGATGCAGGTCACAAGCTCAAAACACACATCTTTTCAGGAACAACTAAATTCCTGGTAGTCTAGACCGACCAGGCACCCCTGCTCTCCTAAGCTAGCTCAGGCTCGGGGTGGCTAGTCCCTGGGGGAAGTTGGTTTCGAGGTGGCAGAGACAATATCACTGTTCTGTCTTGAGGTCTGAGGAACCATGGTTGCAATTGGAGCCACAGGGGACCTGGTCAGGAGGAAAACTGGCACACTGAGTGATAGCCCAGCCAGAGGCAGGAAAGAAGCCAGGCTCTCAAGACATCTTCAATCCACCAAAAAGCCAAGCTGGGAGCCAAGTTCCCCTTAGCCCACCTCCACGGCACCTCCAATTTCCAGCCCCCTCTTATGTCTTTACTTCTTTCCCTCATTTCTTTCCTTTCTTTCTTTGAGACAAGTTATCACATAGCACAGACCTGGCTTGATGTAGCTGAGGATGACTTTGAACTTCTGACCTTTCTGCCTGAACCCATTGAGTGCTGGGGTTCTACGCAAGCACTGTCTCACTGGTTTGCTGTTGTTGTGCTGGGGCCAGAACCCAGGCGTTTTCACATGCTGTCAGGCGCTGTGCTTAGAGTTGCTTGGATGCTAACTCTCCTGAACTCACACTGAGTAATATCGCCTTCCTGTTTCTGTCTCTACCTTTTACAAACACACACACACACCAGGAGATCCCTTGTCTCTCAGCCTTAGATACCATCACGCCCAGCCTGAAATTCCTTTTCACTTTATTGATAAAGTGGCAGCTTTAAGTTCATTGTAGTCTCTGTCCCAGCATACACAGCTTCTTGCTTTCACAGTCCTCCCACTAGCAGGGGCATTTCAACAGTGGGAATTTGAACCCAGAGCCCAGAGCTGGGGATTCTTTGTACCCTGCTCTGTCATTGTTGCTGTGTGTCACAGGCTGGAGGGTGTGGGTGGTTCTAGATGCTCAGCCCCATGGCTGGAAACACAGCTAGTCACAAGAGAGTGACAGATGTTCTCTGAAACAGCTGTTACCAGCCAAATACCAGCTGCGACAACACCTTCTGCCAGTGTGTGTCCTGTTTCAGACACTATACTGGCTCAGCCAACCACGGGGGTCTCTTACCGAGGGAGCCTTGTGATCCCTGCAGGAGACCCCCTCACAGTAGGGGTTAGGCACAAATCACAACCAAAACCCCGTTTTAACAGAGAGATCCTTTATTAAGCAGGGGAGCAAGAACAATAAGAAAGTGGCTACTTTCTGACTCAGGCAGGTAATGGCAGCTGATGAAAAAATGGGGTGGTCTGTGTTAGAACGGGCTAGGATTCGGTGGTATATTTTGTTTGGGGTATGCTAATTATGTGAACCAAAGGGGGCTTTTGACACTTGGACCTTGGTAGTCGGCCTCAGGAGGAGGAAGTGGCCAAATAAGAGAAAAGACCTTGGGGGCTAGCTTTAAGATGTAATCTGATGTTTTTTAGCAAGGCAGAGGGAATGGCGGAGAAGGGCAAGGCATGACAGAGCCATGTTTGCTGGCCCAGGCTGGCTAGAGTCCCTTCAATCCCAATAGATGCAGGGATAAAGGTAGGCTGAGTCAGTTTGAGTCAAAAAGGATACCAATGAGCACCCCTTAAACCCTAGCCCCACTTTCTTTTAAAAGGGCCACCATCCTTGTTCATATGGGAAGCGGATCTTCCAAGGAGTCTGTCTCCTGATTCTACTAATGAACACACTCTCCTTGCCTGCAGCATCAGCAACCAGGTATTGTAAGGTCCCTGGTTCTGGGAGGGAGGAAGATCACAAAATTTGTAAATGTTACCAGAATTTGTTTCCCTATAGGTGGAGCCTGAGTCAGGGATTCTTGAAATCGGGCCCGGGATGAGCCAAGCCTCTAGGACATATCACCACCCCAGTCTCGGATGAAATGTGGGGCGTTATGCCACCCAGACAGTCCAGCACAAAGAAGACCTTAGAGCTGGGGGGAAAGACAGGCCAGGATTGGTTTCCAAAGGAGGGGCCCCCTGAGCCTGCATTGTAGCAAAAGACCGAAGAGAAAGCCCGGCAGACAAGAAACAGCAGGCCAAGCTCCAGCGTCTGGAGCCACAAGACTGCAGGTCTTCTCCCTCCCACCCCCCCACCCCCCGCCCCATCCCTTGAGTCCTGTTGGTGGAGCCCCTGCTGGGCTTGGCTCTAAAAGGCTACCTGGACACCAGGGTGCCAGCCTAATCCAGGATAGGGCTGGGCTCAACCTGAAGAACCTTGCAGCTTAGTTGGGGAGCAGGACACAGCAAGAAGGGGCTGGGCTTGGGACACATATGTGAGGTTTTAGCCTAGGCCCAGAAAGACCAGAGTTTGAAGGGCGAGGACAGCCATGGGTAAAAAGATCAAGAAAGGCCCTTTGCAGCAGAGAAACACCAAGGGAAAGTGGCCAAGGCCAGGCCCTTTGGCAAGGAGGACTTTAAAAGCCAGCTAGACCAGGAGACTAGACTGGCAAGAGGCAGAGATCCTGCAGGACTTTGATGCCCTGGTACAGGGTGGAATCCGGGGACAGACGGAGCAGACTCTCCTAGCATGAGGGAGTCTGGCCTTTGCAACGGGGCTGCCAGTAGTAACGCAGGCGCTTGTTGTAGCTGCCCAGGCTTTGCTTCAGGCACAAGGCCACCTCCTTATCACAAGCGCACAACTGCTTCTCACACCAGCTCCCCTTGTCAGCTGTGGGCGAAAGACACAGGGCTGGCTCAGTATCCGTCCCGGAGACTGCCTGAGGGGTACAGAGAGGGTCCCTGAAAGCAACACGATCTCTGCTGGTCTTTGCCGTCAACCCTCCCCGCCAACAGCCTCTTTGATTGGACATGTCTGCCACCTCTCTGTGTGCTGGCTCCTTTACCTATTATCACATCCATTCACTACACAGTCACTGAGCAGTGGCTGAGGGGCTGGTCCTGGAGGGAGAAAGCTGAACCAAATGGACAGGTGGGAAGGCAGGTGGCAGAGGCCCACAGAGATAGTGCCAAGCCAAAGCGTGGGAGATACAGGCCTGCAGGAGGACAAGGCGTGCCGAGGAGCCATCCCAGCTCAGATCACAGCTCCTGGTGAAAGCTGAGGTAGCAATCGAGTGCTCCCAAAAGGTGAGTATCTGTGTTAGCTTCCACAGGTCCACTGACCTTAAGGTAAGGTGTCATGGGCACCGACTGTGGCAAAGGGAAAGGTCATGTTGGGAATACCCATGCTTTTCCCCATGAGAATGGGGTTGGTTAGCCTCCGCTGAAGTTCTTCATGTTGGCTTGTTTTGACAAATTGCCAAGGAGGGCATGGGATTTCAGAGAGGTTAGACAGTGTTGAGCACACAGCTGGTCAGTGATGGGTCTCTGCCTTCTGGATACCAAAAGGATGGGGTGATGCCCTTGGTCCTCTTCACACCCCCAAACCCCATTCCTGCTTGTTTCCCACTGCCCATGGGAGAGGAACAGCTTCAGGTGTCAAGTGCTTCATGTACTACCACACTGGGTCTATAGAGGCAGGGATGGCCAGAATTTCCCAGGTCCAGCCCTTGGCTAATAGCCCTGAGCACTCACAGCACTGGATACCGTCCTGGGAAATGCTGTATTTGTAATTGTCTGTCAGGATCTTGCATCCATCGATCTTCAGGTGCTTATAGCAGCAATCATGTTTTTGACAGCACCTACAGGGAGAGGCAGGGAGGGCACACAGCTACAGGAGTCACTAGTCAATTCTGGTCTCTGCCTGCTCCCCTCACATACCCACCAGGGATGATCAAAGATGTTTGCGTTCCCTTGGGGTCGTGAGGATTGCCGTTGGTCAAGGGCTTCCACACAGCAGATACCTGTTCCAGCCACATACCCTCTTTAATTCCCATGACCACGCCGTGATGGAGGTGCTGGCATCATCTCCATTTCACAGCTGAATAAACAAAATTCTGGGGTTTGAGATGCTTGGCCAAGGTCATGTGACTTCTCTGGCCAACTCTCAAAATGGTTGTGAAAATCAAATGAGAACAGGCAAAGAGTTTTGGCTTCAGGATACATGTGTAATGGTAACAAGGAATACAGGATATGAGAGCTCCATTAGGAAGTCATCAGGCCTGCAGTTCTCCTGGGGAACCTTCTAGAAGGCCAGCTCCAAGAGGATTGGGACTGTATTAGCACTTAGCAGAGTCCCTAGCGCATAGTACTTGCTCAGTAAAATGCACTTTCTAAATGAATCAGTCAACATAAAAGGAAGGAGAGTCCCAAGTAGGGCAGGGAGGGGAGTTTACCAGTCTGTGGCATCCTTGGGTTCTCCTTTGCCACCAAGTCCACAGTGACAACCATAGGGCCAGTAGTTGAGGAAGGCTATCTTCCCAGTCATAAGTCTCACCATCTTGCTCAGATTCAGGAGCCCTCCCTGGGCCGGAGTCATACCTGCCAAGCAGCCAAACAAGGAGGAAAGGGGTGAAGGCTCTGGGGGGTCACAGGGTCCCACGATGGGACGCAACTGTGCTGGGCCAAGCAAGGGACTTGAAATAATGGCGCTATCAAGTAGCGACAAGTGCTCCTGCTATTTTTTTTAAAAAGTGTTGGCTTGAGTGATGCTAGAGTACATGCTTAACATGTGCAGCTTAGTGACAGAGTACATGCTTAACCTATGTCAGCTCTGAGTTCTGTGCCCAAGAACCAAGAAGGTAAAATATACAACTCAGTGACCAGAACTGAGTCCTTAGTACAGGTCTTTTATATATTAATTTCTGGATTCCATTCTTTTAAAAGATATTTTCAATTGTGTGTTTGTGTGTGTATGTGTGTTGCATGGCTTGGCCTAGGGCGTGCTGCTTGGAGGTGGTGCAGAGGCATCTAAGAAGAGTGCCTCTGCCCACACACACACATACACACACATGCACATGAGTGCAGGTGCCTCCAGAGACAAGGTCTGTCACCAGCCGGGAAGCGCAGCAATTACGGTAGACTGGCTAGCCAGCGAGCCCAGCCATCCTGCCTCTGGGTAATAATCACATGCCGCCACATCTTGGCATTCTCCACTCGGCTCCTGAGGCTCAAACTCAGGTTCTCACACTTGCAAACCGAGGCTCCCTGACTTACTCAAGGTCACAGAAGGACGAAAATCGAGCCAGACTCCAAAGTGATGCCTTCTGGTTTTGCTCTGTCTCTGATTTCCCACCAGGAATGAGAAGAGGAGGCCCGACTCACCCTCCCTCCCACAGCCTGTCCTCCCTCTCTAGAGAAGCTCTGCAGCAGCCCAGTAGGTATCCAGGGAGGTGATGTGATTTAGAAATCAGCCCTGCGCCAATTCAGGCCTCGTAGCTGCTGGCTAGAATTGATCTTGGGAGAGAGGAACACATTACGTTAAATTAGGAGAAATAAAATCTGTGGGATCAATGAATTCAGGGGAACGCTGGGAGAAACAGACAAGATGAGGACAAGCTGGTCAAGAGTGCAGGGAGCACAGGTCGAGTGCAGCCATGAGGCTTAGGAAAGATGGGCCTAGGCAGTGGTTCCTGTCCTGCCATCCCAGTGAGTTCCTCCAGGCACACATGGTAACTATTAAGGAGAGGAGAGGCCCATGTTGGAGGATTGGGGTGTGAGAAATGGGACACTGGAAGGCATTAGTGAGCGGACAAAGAGGTGGTTATAATCAGGTGACTTTGGGCTGCAGTCAGAAGTGACTGGCTGTTGTGTGGAGAAAAGTGTCTCCTCTGTGTGGGAGTCTGTGTGCGTACTCCTGCCTGGCACAGTGCTCCTGGCTGAGGGATGTTAAATGGAGGTCTTGCTAATCCTTGACTGTGCTGATAAGTGACCCCAGCTCCCCTCTCCCAGAGATCAAGAAAATGTTGGATTCCACGAAGAACCCCAAAGCAATTAACACAAAGACAGAATCCACCTTGGGCACCAACTGGAGATCTGAGTTCAGAAACTTGCCTTTCTTGGCCTCTATGCCTCTGTCTCTCCATGGTTCCCACCCTGGGCAATTTTTTCCTTCTGTAATGCCAACTAGCTTTGAACTCATGGCTATTCTGTCTCAGCCTCCCAAGTGCTGGGATTACAGTTGTGAGCTACCACACCTGGCTTGCCCTCTATTTCTTTGCTTCAAAGCTAGCCACTCAACTCCCTCCTGAAGAGGGCAGCTCCAGCTGGCCTGGCAGGCAAGAAAGGCACTCAGTTTAGATTCTGTATGCTCTGTGTGGTCTCTGCTCATCACGCAGTAGGTAGTGAGGCAAACATCCTGAGGAAACAAGGACAAGCGGTGTGTATCAAAGCCTGTCAGTGACTCCTATCTCAATAGCTCTTCCCAACCTTGGTCCCCCCCAGCTCTCCATGCTCAGGGGTGGGGAGTGAATGGTCAGGAGAGACACAGCTGCCATTTTGATGCTCAGCTCTCATGTAACACTGGGTAACTCTTCTCACTAGGGGTTCTTCAGTGGTGCAGAGAGGGTGCTGTGGTCCACTGAGCAGGTGAGGACACGGCACGGCCTGCCTAGGTTGCATGGCTTGGCCTTGGGCGTGCTGCCTGGAGGTGGTGCAGAGGCATCTAAGAAGAGTGTCTCTGCATTACATTGCCTCTATGTTGAAGGATGAATTTCTGTAGTTCCATTGCATGTTTGCTAATTGGCTTCACTGTAATGCAGGGAAGTATCCCTCTCAAGGATGTGGGAGTCATGTTTCTCCTCCTCCTCCTCCTCCTCCTCCTCCTCCTCTTCCTCCTTCTTATTTTTCAATTCTCCGAGACAGGGTTTCTCTGTGTAGCCTTGGTTGTCTGGAACTCACTTTGTAAACTAGGCTGGCATCAAGCTCAGAGATCTGCCTGTCTCTGCCTCCTGAGTGCTAGGATTAAAGGCGTATGTCACCACTGTCCAGCTATAAAATCACCTTTAAAGAATAAAAGATCTTCCTAAAATCATATATTATGAGGTGGATTAAGAAAATGAAAGCCAATTTGCAAGCTGCCATGGTCTTACAGCTGATCTTCTGAAGAAATCGCAGAAACTGTCCCCAGATCCCCTTCCTGCCAATGGGAGAGGGATCCTTGTCCTGGAATGCCACACAGCCTACCCTCCCCAGTCTCTGACTGAAGCCAGAAATCAGTGTCCTAGGTGCCTAGCAGCCACAGGTGACTCCTTGCTGTTGGTGGGAGTGTTGGGGTCTAGAATTCTAGTGTCCTCAGGATAGCAGCAGCCCAGCTGAGAGTGGAAAAGTCCGGATCTACTTTCAGTCCCACTTCCTCCCCCACCTCACATCTGCTCCCACTCACCAGGCAGCAGCAGCAGCATCGTGCAAAGCAGGGCAGGTCTCATGGTTCCAGTGCGGAGCAAGGCAGGCAGCTGTTAGAAGTTCCCTGCCACACAGACAGCCCCTTATATTAGGTCCCCTACCCATCCTACCCAGCACTTCCCAGCCCCTGCAGAAGCGGTTCACGTGCCTCCTGCTTCCTCTTTTCTAGGATTCTGGTTATTATTATTTTTTAAGTATTGGCCCCATCTTTCCAATTTTTTATTAAAAAAAAGTATGTCTAGAGTGGGAGGTTTGGCAAGCACCTTCAGAGTCTAGGGAATGAAACCCAAGGCCTCTGACAAGCCAGGCAAGCACTTTATCATTGAGCCACAACCCCAGCCCCACAGCAGAAGACTTTTGAAAAACATGCAATTTGAAATTTAGGATCATCTGCTAAGACAGGAAACATGATTAGCATTTTGGTTTATGTCTTTATGGTACTATTTTGTTATCTATCTAGGTATGTATAATCTATCAATCTATCACCAATAATCTATTATCTATATAATATCATAAATATCTATTACCAGTAATCTATCATCAATCATTTGCTATCCATTCAGTTATCTATTCATCTATTGTCCCTCAGCTTTCTAATCTATCATCTCTCATTCTATCTGCTTACCTACTGTCAGTCCACTGTGTGCTTATATATAGGCCTTTTATCTTTCTGCCTCCATATTTTCACTTTACCAATGTTATATGCAGTACTTTATAGTTGGTCCCCCATCCCACCCCAGACAAGGTCTCATGAAGCCCAGGCTGCCCTCAAACATGACCTTGCACTTTCAGTCCTCCTCCACCTCTCAGGTTCCAGAATTACAGCTGTGTGCCATCATGTCCAGTTTGTGAGGTGCCAGGCTTGACACCCAGGCCCTCCCGAACACTAGGCTGGCACTTTACCAACAGAGACACATCCCAGCCTTAGACTTCTCTTCACTTACTGAGCGTATTTCTATTAATTAAGTGTTCTTCAGCAGCAGTTTTGAAAAGCAGCTTCGCAGCCTACTTTACCACCGCACTGTTTGTATACTGAGTCCCTTGCGGATGGACACATAGGTTGCTGACTTTTTTCTCTTTTTTCTTTTTTACCATTCAGGTTCAATGAAAGAGATGTCCGGATATCCCAGTTCACACCCAACTGTTGCCTCACGAGGGCTTGCTGACTCAAGGATTAGAAGGTAATTGGCCTGTGTTGACAACTTAGCCTGGAGATGATCTGTCCCAGTTTACTTGAGAGAGTCCCAATGTGACAAATGGCTGGGATCAGGCCGATGAGGGTGGAGCTGTTGCCTGCGGGACACACCCGGGGACCTTGTCCATCAACAGTAGAGATGGGGCTCTTCCGAGCTTGTAGATGACTGCTGGGAACAGGATGCTGGTGGTCCTCCTTGCCCCAAGCCAATCAGTTCATCCAAAAAGTGTGCCATGAGGAGTCACTGTGTCATTACTGTTGTTCCCTCCCTCCTTCTCTCCCTTCCTCCTTCCCTATTTCTCTCCCTCCCTCCCCGACTCTCTCTTCTTCTTTCCTTCCTTCGTTTTAGACAGAGTCCCACTCTGGCGCAGTCTGCTTTCAAGCAGCCGTGACCTCACCAATGCTTGGGTTACAAACCACTTCGGTTCCTGCCCTCTGTTTCTTGACCCAATCAATCAATTAATACTCATTTGTGAGAAAGCCATGTATGTGCAAAGTAATTAGCCAGGCACGGTGGCTCGCACAGTTCAATGAAACACACAGGCGGGTGAGGCAGGAGGGTGGCTGCAAGGTCAAAGCCGGTCTGAGCCGCAGAGATAGCTCAAGGCTGCTGGGCTAGCAAACCTTACCTCAAGAGCAGAACAAAGGAAAATAAAAATGCCCTCCCCTTCATAATGACTTTTAAAAGGGATAAGCATATTCAACAGGAGACACACTAAGGGCGTCTGGCATATTCTTAGTTCTCGGTGGCGTGACTGACATTCAATAAATTGCAAGAAAGTTGGTGGGTGTGGGGATGAGGCCTCCTGTGAAACCATCACCCCTGAGGAGGCTGCTGACATGCCATGGCCTCCAGCATTTCCTGGGACTGGCTGGCTCTTGGCGGCTCTCCACATGCTAGGCCTGTGTTCCTGCCCACATGCCTCTTTAGCCGAAAGCAGCCT